GAATTCTGCCTTATTGATTAATCACTTCTGATCATGCATTTTATCACATGTCCATTAAAGGGTTTGTGTTGTGTGGTGCTCCGTCACGTTGATTGTCATATTGGCTCGTCCCACCTATTTCCATTTTATACCGTTAGTGGAAGAAGCGTACATTCAGTGTTGAGTGGTGTATCGACAGTATTACTCCAAATAGTGAAAACCGAACCATCAGATGGTCTAACTGTATCCAGTATCCAGTCTGTGCAAGATGTTTAAGGTTTCCCCAGATACCGTTGGTTCATCCAGTGAAACAGATGATGTACAGGACACACTTACAAGTATCCAGAGACTGATCGCATTGTCCGGCTTATCATGGGACTATCAGCAGTCGAAGTCAGCCAAACGGTGCAACGTCTTGGCGGTAGTTTCAAGAACATATTCAAGTTTAGTTTTCATTTTCATTATTCTGTATTTTATCCAGAGGATACCACACTTTTCAAAAGCTGAATCGTTCACAAAGAAAAGTCTTTCCTTAACAAACACGACCGGAATTTTGTTATGTCTAACCTACTTGGTTCTGAGTACCAACATCCACAGCAAGGTTCGTATATTCCACGAACGTCTTCGCGAAACACAGTTGAAATTTAACAGTTCATGTGCTTCAGCCACTGAAATGAGACTGAGAGTGAAGAGGGCCTGTGTATGTCTTCTGGTCCTCGCGGTATGTTACTGTGGTGCAACTGGCTTAATGACTGGCTTTGTGAGTGACGCATCCAATGACTGGTATTGGCCTTCACTTGTATTATCGACGGTAATTGCTGGCTGTACCTGTCTGCTACACCATTCTTTATTGCTTCTGTTCTTGTCCATCTCCCTCCTTCTTACTTATGAGTATGATAACTGCACGCTGAGACTGACAAGGGCTTCTGAAGGGTCCATCAAAGAAGAAGATATTGATGATATTCGACGTTACCATGCATCCTTAACAGACTTGGTGGAACATGTGTGTTCCCTCATGTCCAGACACGTCGCTGCTGGCTACGTCAGCTCCTTCCTCATTGTATGTTTCGGCCTATACAGCATCATCAACGACGAGAAATCCATTGCCAACATTGGTACTGCTGCAGCTACTCTGTATGTCTCTACATTGTATCTCATCGCCCTCACTTATATTGGAGTCAGACTGCACGAAGCGGTAAGCGTTAAAATTCATTTTTGCCAAACATTGCGGAAATGATGCGGATGATTGATTATGATTGTACTTTAATGCACAATTCAGGTTAACAATTTTCCCATTTCAGTAGTTGAATTATCTATTCATGTTTAAATGACGAACCCAATGAAAGCTTTTTTCGTGATAAATAACAACAACTGAATGGAATAATACGACTTATGCAGCTACTAAGAGGGTTGAATATTGTTTTGTTTCCACTTGAATCAACCTTCCAATTGTTACAATGCAGGGGGTGTACGTTGGAATGGAAGAACGTTCAACCTATGAGCTACCTTGGAAAAACAACGGTTTTATATAACTGGTGTTTATTGTTACAATGTTTGTTTACAGGCACACCGACCACTGAATCTTCTCCTGGACATGACTGGGCAAAATATGCCTGATAGAGTTATTGGACTGGTAAGAAAACATCATATCAAATTCAGAGACATTTCAGTTGTATCTAGAAAATACATTTAACTGTGTGAACCGTTTTATTAGTAACTGCGGAACGACCATTGATTTTGATATATAAAATATGATTTATCTTATGTATAAGTTATGGTTATTACGTACTTATGATAACTTTTCGTGTATGTTCATTGTAATTCATGTGCTCCAATTGGCTGAATAAGACGATTACTATAGTCAGTCATGCCTACTATGTAAAGCCAGCTTCCACATTCGCTATACCTTCCCTATACACCTACTTCGGCAACACACACTGTCAGCGGTATTTCTAATTTAATCACACTTTGCATCCTGTGTAATTCTGGTCAACTACAATCTTTTGTCGTGGTTGTAATTGACATTCATTCACATATAAAGTGAAGATTTGGGCATTTAACATGTTATGTTTACGTTGTGTTTTGTCTATATCATGTTTTTCCTACGTTATGTTCATCCAGCTGCAGGTCACACTGTTCACCAACAAGTTGTCTCAACGTCAGATCGGAATCAGTGCGTTGGGACTAATTACCATCACGAAGGACACTATCCTAACGGTATGTTGAATACGTATAGTTCGACCTATATTTGACTACGATGGCATTTTCCAGATTAAAAGATGAAATAGAATTCTATTCTCCACAATAGCCATTGTACTTCAAGATCAGGTTAAGAACAGGTCTCCAACAAACCCTGCTTTTTCTAAGAAGCAATATACAGGATCGAATTTGGTTTGTAGATGTTTTTTTTTTATGAGTTGATTCACAAACTGAAACTAATGCAATAGTTTACCGGAAATCAGTTTGTGAAAGAATCTGGTTTAACCCAACAATCAACAATGAGATGAGACATATTTAACCATTGTATTCTAAAATTAACTAAGTTACAAATTACTAGCACGCTGTACTGACTGACTGAGTTTGGTTTTACGCCGCTTTTAGCAATATTCCAGCTACATCACGGCGGAGGAACACCAGAAATGGGCTTCACACATTGTACCCATGTGGGGATTCGAACCAGGGTCTTCGGCGTGACGAGCCAACGCTTTAACCACTAGGCTACCCCACAGCCCCACTAGCACGGTGTAACAGTGACAGTATCAAATAGAGTGGGAGTATAAATTCAAAGGCAGAATAATGCAAGTGCTGTGATTATTGAAATAAAGATGATGCTTGTAATATTCACCTCACTGAAACAACAGTCAAGTTTCCAAAACTAGGCCTCGGATGAAAACCTTAGATAAGAACGATTTGCACACAAGTACTGGTGTTCTTGAGATGTGAAGTGAGAAGATAGCCAAGCAAGAAAAAAAACACCCTGGAGTACCTTCCAGAGCTAAGTATCTAAGTATATCACCAGTCTAAATATAGCCTGCCACTGCTTCTCACTGACTATCCACATGTACAATGCATTACTATACACTTATAACATTGTTACACAATAAATAACATTGCTACATAACAATATTTTTCCTTCTCAGTTGCGAGATCGATGTTCTTGATGTAAATCATTGGAATGTATTGGATTGACTCCATGATGTACAATTCCCTTCCAAAAGTTGAAACATTGTTGAGTGAGGCTTTAAAGTAACAATAAATCAATAATTTTCCTTCTTTGTTCACACAGATGATCGGTACCCTCCTGACCTACGTTTTCATCGTGATCCAGTTTAAACCGGACTCGACCGTTGGAATTCAACACAATGTAAACGCTACGACAGCATAACTTGATCAACTCGTATTTGACTTCAGCTTCGCGTTTTTGGATTAATGGTCATTATATTTAAGTTTGTAATATGTTGATTTTGTTGCTATGGATATATAGAACATCATCAGTGGTGTGCGTGCACAGTACGTCTGTAAAGCTGTTGGTTTGAAGAAAACACAAAAAGTACAAGAAGGTTTCCTGCTACTTTTTAACGATGGATATGGCGCAACACAGAAATCCTCTGTTTGGACTCAAAATGATAACGAACATAGAGCTAGAGAGAGTATCTGGCAACGTGGTGTGTATATGATGACACAATAAGATGTATTCGTAACCTTGTAACATTGTAAATCAGTATCTAGTGTACCCTCCAACTGCCTTACGTCACATACTCCGGTAGTCGTCGCATCCGTTCTAGAGGAACCTGTCTGCATGTTTATACAAAGCTGCTCCCAACTCACTCAGACTTAGAACAGTTGGTACATATATACTGATCACCCGTCAATTTCTCACTTGTATCAGTCGTCAAATAAGGGTCAGGTCTGGACTCAAGCTGCCCATGGAAGGTGAGTCACGACACTATTCTGAATGAAAGCTGTCACTGTTTGGCCTAGCGTTGTCATCCATAAATACAGATCTTGTAACAAGAGGATGATTATCAAAATGAAGGGTCCAGTGCAATCTGATCACCTGTCAAATTCCCCGTATTGTCACCAAATCAACTTTACAGTCATAAGAGACACTTCCCCGCACCATGACTGATCCTGCAAAGGCAACAGTTGGTTGAATGGTAAATGCTGTATTTCGTTGTCTCCAAACTTGCCTCACCTCATTGGTTATCTGAATTTTCTGACCACTCGACTGATACTTCTGTAGTCAAATTTCATTGCTTTAAAGGACGTGCCGATAATTTGCCATCCCTGGGCATCTGATAATCTTCTACATCCCATAGTGACAGGCAACTTATTGAGCATTGTTACCCAAGCAGATTAAATTCCGACATGTGGCACGTGCCAGACCGCAATTGTGAAAATTCGTTGGTTTGCTTTTGGACACACAGTTTATGTTTGTGGAGACACATTCTTCCAAGCATACTAGCAATATAGATACACACTGAGAACCTACGTATAATCTTACGTATAAGCTGAACCTTACACAAGCTGAACCAGGGCATAGCTCTCTTACCTGTCAACACAATCAGGGTTGCTTACCTGTATACCTATGATATATTGCATACTTCATGCGATATAATATGTACATATGATGCACTGTATGCTTCATGAAAAATACTGTGTACCGGTGATGTACTGTATGCTTCATGTGATATACTGTGTACCTGTGATATACTGTATACTTCATGCGATATACAGTGTACCAGTGATGCACTGTATACTTCATGCGATATACTGTGTACCTGTGATCAACTGTATGCTTCATGTGATATACTGTGTACCTTTGATCTACTGTATGCTTCATGTGATATACTGTGTACCTGTGATATACTGTATACTTCATGCGATATACAGTGTACCAGTGATGCACTGCATACTTCATGCGATATACAGTGTACCAGTGATGCACTGTATACTTCATGCGATATACTGTGTACCTTTGATCTACTGTATGCTTCATGTGATATACTGTGTACCTGTGATATACTGTATACTTCATGCGATATACAGTGTACCAGTGATGCACTGTATACTTCATGCGATATACTGTGTACCTGTGATCAACTGTATGCTTCATCCAATATACTGTGTACCTATGATGCACTGTATACTTCATGTGATATACTGTGTACCTGTGATGTACCGTATACTTCATGCGATATACTGTGTACCTGTGATGTACTGTATACTTCATGCGATATACTGTGTACCTGTGATGTACTGTATACTTCATGCGATATATTGTGTACCTGTGATATACTGTATGCTTCATGCGATATACTGTGTACCTGTGATATACTGTATGCTTCATCCAATATACTATGTACCTGTGATGTACTGTATACTTCATGCGATATGCTGTGTACATGTGATATACTGTATGCTTCATGCAATATACTTTGTGCCTGTAATATACTGTATGCTTCATGCGATATACTGTTTACCTGTGATGTACTGTATACTTCATGTGATATACTGTGTACCTGTGATGTACTGTATACTTCATGCGATATACTGTGTACCTGTGATATACTGTATGCTTCATGCGATATATTGTGTACCTGTTATATACTGTATGCTTCATGTGATATACTGTGTACCTGTGATATACTGTATACTTAATGCAATATACTGTGTACCTGTGATATACTGTATGCTTCATGCGATATACTGTTTACCTGTGATATACTGTATGCTTCATGCAATATACTGTGTACCTGTGATGCACTGTATACTTCATGCAATAAACTGTGTACCTGTGATGTACTGTATGCTTCATGCGATATACTGTGTTCCTGTGATATACTGTATGCTTCATGCGATATATTGTGTACCTGTTATATACTGTATGCTTCATGTGATATACTGTGTACCTGTGATATACTGTATACTTAATGCAATATACTGTGTACCTGTGATATACTGTATGCTTCATGCGATATACTGTTTACCTGTGATATACTGTATGCTTCATGCGATATACTATGTACCTGTGATGCACTGTATACTTCATGCGCTATATTGTGTACCTGTGATGTACTGTATGCTTCATTTGATATACTGTGTACCTGTGATATACTGCATGCTTCATGTGATATACTGTGTACCTGTTATATGCTGTATACTTCATGCAATATAGTGTGTACCTGTGATATACTGTATGTTTCATGCGATATACTGTTTACCTGTGATATACTGTATGCTTTTCGCGATATACTATGTACCTGTGATGAACTGTATACTTCATGCGATATGCTGTGTACCTGTGATATACTGTGTACTTCATGCAATATACTGTGTACCTGTGATATACTCTATGCTTCATGCAATATACTGTGTACCTGTGATGTACTGTATACTTCATGCAATATACTATGTACCTGTGATGTACTGTATACTTCATGTGATATACTGTGTACCTGTGATGTACTGTATACTTCATGTGATATACTGTGTGTCTATGATGTACTGTATACTTCATGCAATATACTATGTACCTGTGATGTACTGTATACTTCATGTGATATACTGTGTACCTGTGATGTACTGTATACTTCATGTGATATAATGTGTACCTGTGATGTACTGTATACTTCATCTGATATACTGTGTACCTGTGATGTACTGTATACTTCATGTGATATACTGTGTACCTGTGATGTACTGTATACTTCATGTGATATACTGTGTGTCTATGATGTACTGTATACTTCATAAGATATTCTGTGCATCTGTGATGTAGAGTATACTTCATGCGATATACTGTGTACGTTTGAGGTAGTGTATACTTCATGTGATATACTGTGTACCTGTGATGTACTGTATACTTCATGTGATATACTGTGTACCTGTGATGTACTGTATACTTCATGTGATATACTGTGTACCTGTGATGTACTGTATACTTCATGTGATATACTGTGTACCTGTGATGTACTGTATACTTCATGTGATATACTGTGTACCTGTGATGTACTGTATACTTCATGTGATATACTGTGTGTCTATGATGTACTGTATACTTCATGTGATATACTGTGTACCTATGATGTACTGTATGCTTCATGCTATATACTGTGTACCTGTGATGTACTGTATACTTCATGTGATATGCTGTGTACATGTGATATACTGTATGCTTCATGCAATATACTTTGTGCCTGTAATATACTGTATGCTTCATGCGATATACTGTTTACCTGTGATGTACTGTATACTTCATGTGATATACTGTGTACCTGTGATGTACTGTATACTTCATGCGATATACTGTGTTCCTGTGATATACTGTATGCTTCATGCGATATATTGTGTACCTGTTATATACTGTATGCTTCATGTGATATACTGTGTACCTGTGATATACTGTATACTTGATGCAATATACTGTGTACCTGTGATATACTGTATGCTTCATGCGATATACTGTTTACCTGTGATATACTGTATGCTTCATGCAATATACTGTGTACCTGTGATGCACTGTATACTTCATGCAATAAACTGTGTACCTGTGGTGTACTGTACACTTCATGCGATATACTATGTACCTGTGATGCACTGTATACTTCATGCGCTATATTGTGTACCTGTGATGTACTGTATGCTTCATTTGATATACTGTGTACCTGTGATATACTGCATGCTTCATGTGATATACTGTGTACCTGTTATATGCTGTATACTTCATGCAATATAGTGTGTACCTGTGATATACTGTATGTTTCATGCGATATACTGTTTACCTGTGATATACTGTATGCTTCATGTGATATACTGTGTACCTGTGATGAACTGTATACTTCATGTGATATGCTGTGTACCTGTGATGTACTGTATACTTCATGCAATATACTGTGTACCTGTGATATACTGTATGCTTCATGCAATATACTGTGTACCTGTGATGTACTGTATACTTCATGCAATATACTATGTACCTGTGATGTACTGTATACTTCATGTGATATACTGTGTACCTGTGATGTACTGTATACTTCATGTGATATACTGTGTGTCTATGATGTACTGTATACTTCATGCAATATACTATGTACCTGTGATGTACTGTATACTTCATGTGATATACTGTGTACCTGTGATGTACTGTATACTTCATGATATATACCTGATGTATTGTATACTTCATCTGATATACTGTGTACCTGTGATGTACTGTATACTTCATGTGATATACTGTGTACCTGTGATGTACTGTATACTTCATGTGATATACTGTGTGTCTATGATGTACTGTATACTTCATAAGATATTCTGTGCATCTGTGATGTAGAGTATACTTCATGCGATATACTGTGTACGTTTGAGGTAGCGTATACTTCATGTGATATACTGTGTACCTGTGATGTACTGTATACTTCATGTGATATACTGTGTGTCTATGATGTACTGTATACTTCATGCAATATACTATGTACCTGTGATGTACTGTATACTTCATGTGATATACTGTGTACCTGTGATGTACTGTATACTTCATGTGATATACTGTGTACCTGTGATGTACTGTATACTTCATGTGATATACTGTGTACCTGTGATGTACTGTATACTTCATGTGATATACTGTGTGTCTATGATGTACTGTATACTTCATGTGATATACTGTGTACCTATGATGTACTGTATGCTTCATGCTATATACTGTGTACCTGTGATGTACTGTATACTTCATGCTATATAGTGTGTACCTGTGATGTGCTGTATACTTCATGCAATATACTGTGTACCTGTGATGTACTGTATAGTTCATGCAATATACTGTGTACCTGTGATGTACTGTATAGTTCATGCGATATACTGTGTACCTGTGATGTACTGTATACTTCATGTGATATACTGTGTACCTGTGATGTACTGTATACTTCATCAAATATACTGTGCACCTGTGATGTAGTGTATACTTCATGAGATATACTGTGCACCTGTGATGTAGTGTATACTTCATGATATATATTATGTGCCTGTGACACACAGAAAATGACAACATTCTGGTGTAATGTGAAACTGTATTTTGCTGAACACCATGTTGTGAATGTGAGCTTTGTCAGAGTAAAGCTGATGGACACTCTATGTGACTGGTCGTTGTCAAGAATTGAAGCAGAGCACTGGCGTCCACGTCGTAAACTTCAATGGTGCGATATACACCTATCATTACTATATGACTTTATTCCAGATTACAACAGAACGAAATCACGTTATCCGACACCACCAACGCCGTGCAAACAGCGCAGGTTGTGCCTCTCAGTAAACATTGCCTAAAGTGTTGAGCACCAATTCTCGTATTTCTGTAGCACCTGTATAGTGCTTACTTCCAATAGCCTTGAAAAGTTAAATGGTATCCACTTGTTTACACTAACGAACTTCATCCCAAGAGCAAGTCCACGAACGATAGCAATTAAATGAATAATTAAACTATCCTGTTATTGAAACCTGCAAGTATGTGTGAGGGGATTTTTTCAAATTATATTTTTGTTCCCCGTACCAAGTATCAAGTAGACATACACATTTTCAACCGCGTGATATGGATATTGTGTCTGAACCGTACACCATCCATACAATGATACCACGGTCAATCAGTCAGTCATAGGGGACAATGTCGGCTAAACGTGATCGGAGGCTGCACGTGAAACAGGGCTGATCGCCACGGGAATAATGAATGTTTAGAAGATCGAGGCGGCAAAACACACTGCTAACATTAGTTAACATTAACTTTGAAATTTCCTATCTTACCCCTATCGTCCTTGAAGATCGTTTACGGTCATAACGTATACTGTGATACAGTGCAACTTTCCAACACGTTCATTATTATCACACAACTATAACTAGTAGCAGTATCTCTTACCATTTAGTTGTTTTCATATTTTCCCTGCTATTTTAAGAATTGATCTTCATGTTTGTTGTCCCACTGTCAGAACACTTTCAATGAGGATGATATTGCCGGATATTGAAGCAAACACAGTTAAACGATTTAGGCTTAATTAGAAGAAATAAGGAAATGTTTGACAAGAAATAATTATGCCAGGTACCTTGACTGATTGATTAATCGGTTTTTCACAGCCAAGGTAAGCAATCACTCTCAACACAAATATCAATTCATCTTCATTAAAACTACTCCTTCAAATACTGGTGAGACTTAGCGGAGAACAGACCGAACTGAAGGTTTAGCCTACAAAGCAAAAACAACGATTATTTATTTCATATGCTGTCTAAGATGTTGAAGATTTTCAGAAATACCGTTGGTACATCAAGTGAAACTGATGATGTACAGGACACTTTGACAAGTATCCAGAAGCTGATAGCATTGTCCGGGTTATCATGGGACTATCAGCAGCCGAAGTCCGCCAACGGGTGTAACGTCTATTTGGTAGTTTCCCGGATATATGCAAGTTTGGTTTGCATATTTTACATTCTGTATTTTATCCAGATGATTCCATACTATACGAAAGCTGAATCGTTCATGGACATCAGTCTTGTCTTAGCTAGTGACATTTCATATTTGTTATGTGTGACGTATTGGGGTCGTATTACCAATATCCACAGCAAGGTTCGCATAATCTGTGAACGGCTTCAAAAAGTGCGGTTGAACTTTGACAGTTGTGTTTCGGCAAGGACACTGAAGCAGAGAGTGAAGAGGGCACGTGTATGCATCGGGCTTCTCGCGGCATTTATCTGTGTCGCCAATGGCATAATCATGAACATGATGGAAGATACGTCCAGTTATTTCTTTTGGCCGTCACTCGTTTTGACGTCGATAGTTGGTGGCTATATGACACTGCTAAACCATTCCATGTTGCTTCTGTTCTTGTCCATCTCCCTTCTTCTTACTTATGAGTATGATAATTGCACACTGAGACTGACAAGGGTTTCTGAAAGATCCGTCAAAGAAGAGGATATTGAGGACATTCGCGGGCACCATGCATCCTTAACAGACCTGGTGGAACATGTGTGTTCCCTCTTGTCCAGACACGTGGCTGTTGGCTACGTCAGCTCCTTCCTCGTGGTATGTTTCTGCCTATACAGCATCATCAACGGTGACAAGTCTTTTTTGGACATAGGCGTCGCCGCATTTGCTGTGTACTTTTCCATTCTACATCTCATCACTCTCACCTATACTGGTGTCAGACTAAACGAAGCGGTAAGTGTTATAAGGTGTTTGTTGTTTTTCTGGAAAAGCATTCTTGAGTTATCCATTCAGATAAATCCCCCGAAAAGAACGTTTATCAGAGTGTGCAATGTCTCAATGCAGAGGAATGCAGGGATTATAATTCGCATGGGTTCACGACTGGGGAG